AAGGATGCTGTGCAGGCAGCTGACATCCTCCTTATCAGCTGAAAATGTCATATGTTGATTAGGACTCCTGCGGCTAGAATGTTGTAATGGTGCACAATGAAAACCTGTGGCTTTGTGTAACTAAAAGGCCGGCTTGTTCCACCCGCTGGCTTATATACATGTTTGGGGCAAATTTTAGAAATTTTGCCAAGGCACCCCTGAAGAAACCTCAAGGCACCATAGTTGAAAAAGGATGTTCTATATAATAGCTCTGGCACTTTGTGACCCCATTCATCCCATATCATAGCGCTAGCACTTTGTGCCCCTCTTCCTTCCATGTCATAGCGCTGGCACTCAGCGACTCCCCTTCCTTCCATGTCATAGCGCTGGCACTCAGCGACTCCCCTTCCTTCCATGTCATAGCGCCGGCACTCAGCGACTCCCCTTCCTTACATGTCATAGCGCCGGCACTCAGCGACTCCCCTTCCTTCCATGTCAGAGCGCCGGCACTCAGCGACTCCTCTTCCTTCCATGTCAGAGCGCCGGCACTCAGCGACTCCTCTTCCTTCCATGTCAGAGCGCCGGCACTCAGCGACTCCTCTTCCTTCCATGTCATAGCGCCGGCACTCAGTGCCTCCTCTTCCTTCCATGTCATAGCGCCTCAGCACTCAGAGCCTCCTTTTCCTTCCATGTCATAGCGCCGGCACTCAGCGACTCCTCTTCCTTCCATGTCATAGCGCCGGCACTCAGCGCCTCCTCTTCCTTCCATGTCACAGCGCCGGCACTCAGCGACTCCTCTTCCTTCCATGTCATAGCGCGCACTCGGCACTCAGCGAGCACTCAGTGACTCCTTTCCTTCCATGTCATAGCGCCGGCACTCAGCGACTCCTCTTCCTTCCATGTCATAGCGCCGGCACTCAGCGACTCCTCTTCCTTCCATGTCATAGCGCCGGCACTCAGCGCCTCCTCTTCCTTCCATGTCATAGCGCCGGCACTCAGCGACTCCCTTCCTTCCATGTCATAGCGCCGGCACTCAGCGACTCCTCTTCCTTCCATGTCATAGCGCCGGCACTCAGCGACTCCCCTTCCTTCCATGTCATAGCGCCGGCACTCAGCGACTCCCCTTCCTTCCATGTCATAGCGCCGGCACTCAGCGACTCCTCTTCCTTCCATGTCATAGCGCCGGCACTCAGCGACTCCCTTCCTTCCATGTCATAGCGCCGGCACTCAGCGACTCCTCTACCTTCCTTCCATGTCATAGCGCTGGCACTCAGTGACTCCTCTTCCTTCCATGTCACAGCGCCGGCACTCAGCGACTCCTCTTCCTTCCATGTCATAGCGCCAGCACTCAGCGACTCCTCTACCTTCCATGTCATAGCGCTGGCACTCAGCGACTCCTCTTCCTTCCATGTATAGGCACTCAGCCACTTTGTGAGCGCTGGCACTCCCCTCTTCCTTCCATGTCATAGCACTGGCACTCAGCGAGGGACTCCCTTCCATGTCATAGCGCTTTGTGCACTCTCTGACTCAGGGAGTCCCTTCCATGTCATAGCGCTGGTACTTTGTGACCCCTCTTACTTCCATGTCATAGCGCTGCCACTTTGTGACCCCCTCTTCCTTCCATGTCATAGCGCTGGCACTTTGTGACCCCCTCTTCCTTCCATGTCATAGCGCTGGTACTTTGTGACCCCCTCTTCCTTTCATGTCATAGTGCTGGCAATTTGTGACCCCCTCTTCCTTCCATGTCAGTCCTCAGCCTACTCTCCAGGTTGGGACTTGTAGCTTACACAGGACTATCACTTGTCCCTCCTGGCATTCAAGTGAAGCAAACGATGAGCATGTGAAGGTGGGCATGATGTTAAGTGAACTCCTTGCAGCACAGGTTGACTTGGACAATGAGCGCTTTACAAGTCTTTATGAACAGGTCCGACGCTTTGCCTTTTATTTCAGAGCTTTACAATCTTGCCATGTCAGCAATAAGAGCCCCCCACGCTGGCTGGCACCGCACTGCAGAAATGAAATCTGAAGTGATTTACTCCTACATCATTAATTCATTAGCACTAAACATTCCCGCTTACATTAGGCGGGCAGGCTGGCCGCAGGGGGACAACATGATTACTCCATAGAAATGATAAAAGAAGAAGAGCTGTGCTTTACTTACAGGCAATCACGGGGAAGTAAATGGATCTCATACACCTGTAGAGCGCGGACGTGTCTACATCTAGTGCAGAATCAGAGAAGACCCGATCATCCAGAGCCAGAACTGTTCGATACCTCCTGCCTGTCTGAGACGGTAAAGACAGACCTCGTACAAAGCGGGACCAAAATCGCACGCTCGGGATCTCCATTATATCACCTATTTATAAAACTTTAATTGACCATTAGGGTCTGGGCACACTTTTCTCTCCATACAAGTCAATGGGTTTGCCAAGGCAGCCTCGGGCCAAATGCACCTGTGAAGGATCTCAAAATGCATCAAAAATGGAAGCTAAATACACCCAATAGCGTGCTGCATTTGCCCCTCTACACAAGCGGGTTTCAGCAGCATGCATCCTAAAAAGTACCAACCCCATTTGGGGAGTAAACAAAAATGGCTGTTCTAGATCCGCTTTTTTAGTCGCATCTCCTCCCCATCTGCTTCCTGGTCAGGGAAGGACCAGCTCTGACCATTCCTAGTAATTTGTTTGGTTTCCAGGGGTGCAAACTGGTGGCCCTCCAGCTGTTCCGAAACTACAAGTCCCATCATGCCTCTACCTTTGGGAGTCATGCTTGTAACTGTCGGTCTTGCAATGCCTCATGGGACTTGTAGTTTAGAAACAGCTGGAGGGCCGCCAGTTTGACACCCGTGGTTTAGACCCTATGCACACTGCGTTTACCCCTGATGCATGGGGCTCTGGCAGGTGCACTCTCCAGTACCCAAAGGAGATGTCACCAGCACACCGAGGATCACCAATATGGGTCCAAAAGTTTTAATGAACGATCACATAGTTACAGCAAGGCAACGTTTTGGAGTCTCGCAGGACCCCTTCATGTGACCAAAACTACACATCCCTGCTGAAGGGGTCCTGCGAGACTCCAAAATGGTGCATTGCAGTAACTACGTGATTGTTCATTAAAACCTTTGAACCCATATTGGTGATCCTCGGTGTGCCGGTGACATTCTCCCTTGCTGATTCTGTTCGGTTTCAGCCAACGGTCGCTGCAGCACCCACTTATGTACACCGCCATTTTTAACACAGGAACGTGTGCGTTTGGATTGTACACTTGCGCTCCAATACCCAGGGACAAATGTTCAGAACACAATAAGGCTCCATGTACACTGCAGCTGATAAACTCACGTTTAGGAGCTTTTCTGCGTTTTTTTTTCAGCAGCCCCTGAACTCCCCCTAATGTCTTCCTATGTGTCCGGGTGTACACATCGTCCTTTGCAGGCAGTTCAGTTTACAGTCGTTTTTTTTGAATGCAACAAACTTATATTCGGGAGATTTTATCAGCGTTTCAAACGCAGGTAACTGCGTTTATAAGCGCTTGGAAATTGATTTTTAACTCTTCCATTTCCAGATGATGTCCAGAGCCTTTTTCATCATGAAAAATGCATGCAAAGCATTTTCCCTGTACTCAAATGGACCCGGTACTCAAATGGACCCGGTACTCAAATGGACCCGGTACTCAAATGGACCCGGTACTCAAATGGACCCGGTACTCAAATGGACCCGGTACACCATACTTTGAGGTTTTGCATGAAAGAAAACATGTTAGACACGGCTGCAATAATTTCTGCACAGAAAATGAGCCGGAACATCCAAACACCACAAAAAAAAAACCCAGCTAATCTCAACAAATACTCTCTCTGCTTCTGCTCTGTTTCTCTCCAAATGTCTGAAATAGTTAATTTTTTACTGTTTTTCAGCGCATTCTGGGCATTTGGGAAGGTCTCCTGAGGTTATCTTTTAACCACTTCCAGTCCGGACACTTTCACCCCCTTCCAGTCCAGGGCAATTTTCAGCTTTTAGCGCTATCACATTTTGAATGACAATTGCGCGGTCATGCAACACTGTACCCAAATTAATTTTTTACCATTTTTTTTGAGACAGATAAACCTTTATTTTGGTGGTATTTATTCACCGCTGGGATTTGTATTTTTTTTGCTATGTAAATGAAATATCCAAAAATTTTGAAAAAAAGTGTTTTTTTTTAAATAAAATTTGCAAATAAATAATATTTCATCATAAATCTTAGCCAAAATTTATTCCGTTATCTTTTTAGTAAAAAAAAAAAAAAAAAAACAAATTAGTTTATAACCAAAAATTATAGTTTTTAAACATTTTTTTTTACATTTTTATTTTATTTTTTTATATTTTTTATTTTTTTTTTTTTTTACATACTGTCACCCTAGCAGTAGTGTCACCATGGTGACACTGTACTACTTGTGGGGGGTGATGAAGATTTTTTTTTTTTTTCTACACCATCCATATAGGATGTAAAAGCAATCATTTCTCTTTCTCTCTGGCTGCATTCTTGCACTCATTGAGAAGTACTGAGTGAGCTGTGATTGGTCACAGCTTGTCACATGTTACAAGGCTGTTGTGAATAGCCCTGTACCATGTGACCTCTGTGATCATTCACAGATTTCACACATAGTAAGCAATGATGTCAGAAGTGACACCTTGCTTCCTACTCTGCATGTGATCGCTGATTGGCCAATCAGTGATCATAAGATCGGGACCTCGCACAGAGGTCCCGTACGACGATCCGGATTGGTCAATCAGTGATCACATGTTGCTTACTACTTTGCATGTGATCACTGATTGGCCAATCCGGATCGTCGTACGGGACCTCTGTGCGAGGTCCCGATCATATGATCACTGATTGGCCAATCAGCGATCACATGCAGAGTAGGAAGCAAGGTGTCACTTCTGACATCATTGCTTACTATGTGTGAAATACTGTTGTGAATAGCCTTGTGCCATGTGACCTCTGTGATCATTCACAGATTTCACAAGTAGTAAGCAATGATGCCAGAAGTGACATCTTGCTTACTACTTTGCATGTGATCACTGATTGGCCAATCAGTGATCACATGATCGGGACCTCGTACAGAGGTCCCGTCCGACGATCAGTGTTTCACTGTGTCCGGAGGACACAGCGGGCACCGGATCGCGGTGCTGCGCGCTCCCAGGGAGCGCGCACAAGCAGGGTGCGGGGAGGCCGTTTATAAACGGCCACCTGACTCTGCACTGCCACCGTCCGGCCGTTTATATGCAACGGCCGGTCGGGAAGTGGTTAAAAACGCAAACGTGAATAAACATGGTATGCAAACGCGGCTAAACAGACGTTTTTTTTAACCTACGTTTCCCAGCAGTCAGTTTCCATCGTTCAGAAGAGTTATCCAAGCGCCCCGTGTACACGGAGCCCTAAATCTGATGTAAAAGGATTTGTATTGGAATGTTGGCCGTGTCCCATGGTCACGAGTGCAGGAATGGGTATGTGTCAGGCTGGCCGTTCTCCACGTACCGCTAGCCTGACATAGCCTTGCTCCGCTCTCACAACAACGCATTGATGACTGCATACAGAGCTGGAAGGACAAACATTACAGAAGTCCCTGCTAGTACAGAACACACTTCTACTGACTGAATGCAATTGTTCTTCAACAATTATCTCTCTATTGCAATCAGAGGACAAGTCCACAACAAAGCTCCTTCCCTCAGTTTTCCATCTCCTGCAAAACAAAACAACAAAAAAAAAACCAAAAAAAAAAAAAAAAAAAAAAAAAAAAAAAGGAGCTTTTCAACATTACTCCGGATGGCGCTACACAGCCTAATCCTCACCCGATCATCTACTGGTCCATCCAATTGGGGCGAAGAATAACGTGTGTGTGTGTTAGAGGAGGGGGTGGTGGGGGAACAATTTAAAGGCCAGTAACACAGGAATCACAGTTTTCAGTGACGTCAACCTTTCAAAAAAAGGAATGGGGGTTCAGAAATATAATCTATCACCCCCACTCCGCAGGCAGAAATTCATATGGATGGAACGTTAATACGAGTAAACGCATTACATACACATTTTTTTTTTCCCCCCGATTACTTCCTTTTAAAAAAACACCGTAACCATGACAACCAAAGAAACACTGCGTCACAGCATGCTGCGGTTTCCATAGCGACAGGGGCCATTCACTGCCATGTCATATCTTCGCTGCTGTAACCATCTGGATTTTGGCACCTGGTAGCATGTGTGAGCCCAGACTCACGAGGACCACTAGCTGTGCCAGGAAGATCTTTGTGGATCAGACTTTTACCCCCCCACAACCACCAATCACCACACACAGCCGATTTCACGGTAACAAACCTGACAGGCTGCAGTTTCGTTTTTTTATCTTAAATTTTCAGCCCAATGAGTATTCAGGTCAGTTATTGACACAATTCTGTATAGATCAGGCTAAACAGCCTATACCTGCTGGTCCTCAAGGCAGTGGATTGTCTACTATTTCTATGGCATAGATAATAAAAACCAGAAGGGATGGCTTGGAGAACAGTTTCATAAAGCTAAGGGGTAGGTACACAAAAGGGGTAGGTACACAAACACGTCAAGGCGTACTTGAAATCAGCAAATGTACTGTTTGCATCGGAGAGCAGAAGTCCAGAAGCTGATGCCTTTCAAGCTGCCACCATCATTTACGGAATTATCACTACAACCTAAAAATAGTTGCTGAATCACAAAAGGGCAATAAATGCATGGATGACTTGGTCCCCCATTCTGATCCATGCTGCTGTTGGGCATTACTATGGAGAAGCTGCAATGCAGGCATAACCTCCACCCCAGACTGAAGCCCAATTTATGGGCATTACTATGGAGAAGCTACAATGCAGGCATAACCTCCACCCCAGACTGAAGCCCAATTCATGGGCATTACTATGGAGAAGCTGCAATGCAGGCAACCTCCACCCAGACTGAAGCCAAATGTATGGGCATTACTATGGAGAAGCTACAATGCAGGCATATAACCTCCACCCCAGACTGAAGCCAAATTTATGGGCATTACTATGGAGAAGCTACATGCAGGCATAACCTCCACCCCAGACTGAAGCAAATGTATGGGCATTACTATGGAGAAGCTAATGCCTCCACCCCAGACTGAAGCCCAATTCATGGGCATTACTATGGAGAAGCTACAATGCAGGCATAACCTCCACCCCAGACTGAAGCCCAATTTATGGGCATTACTATGGAGAAGCTACAATGCAGGCATAACCTCCACCCCAGACTGAAGCCAAATTTATGGGCATTACTATGGAGAAGCTACAATGCAGGCATAACCTCCACCCCAGACTGAAGCCCAATGTATGGGCATTACTATGGAGAAGCTACAATGCAGGCATAACCTCTACCCCAGACTGAAGCCAAATTTATGGGCATTACTATGGAGAAGCTGCAATGCAGGCATAACCTCCACCCCAGACTGAAGCCCAATTTATGGGCATTACTATGGAGAAGCTACAATGCAGGCATAACCTCCACCCCAGACTGAAGCCCAATTCATCGGCATTACTATGGAGAAGCTACAATGCAGGCATAACCTCCACACCCCAGACTGAAGCAAAATGTATGGGCATTACTATGGAGAATCTACAATGCAGGCATAACCTCCAACCCAGACTGAAGCCCAATTTATGGGATTTACTATGGAGAAGCTACAATGCAGGCCTAACCTCCATCCCAGACTGAAGCCCAATTTATGGGCATTACTATGGAGAATCTACAACGCAGACATAGACACCACCCCCTTTTCTCTGTGCAGCAATATGGCTGTATGTCCATTGTACTTGAACTGCAATAACAAATAGACAGTGCAGATAGCCGTCTGCTCCCTGACTGCACAAAGCCTCACCTAACTGCCCAACTTCCTCTATCTGTCATTGTCCCCACACTTTGTTCACTTTCATGCCTCCATTCCTTGGCCGGCTGTGATGTCACACCTGTCAGCTGTCCGCTCTATTTCCAGCAGCAGCAGGTATACTGTTTGGATGAGCAGCGCTTTGAGGATCTTCAAGTCCCAGAAACAGATGGGAAAGCAAAGCTCTAACATATATTCATTCATTTTAGGGTTACCAATAGATATGCCGGTGTGAATGGATGTGAAGGAGTTACTGGAGTTCTACAAGACCAGTAATGAATTTATAGCAAGACACACACAAGAGCCTTGCACTGACACCCTTCTAACTGCTGTGGTGAATGGCAGCCCTCATCCCCAGTACAAGTCTGCTGGCAAAGATGAGTGCTGTCAATCACACCTCATTAGATATTGGCGGTGGTGGTGGGGAGGGCATGCTGTCTGGCCACACTGTCTGCAACCACACCAGGACCAAGTGCATGCTGGGAGAATTCAACAACAATTTTTAAATTGTGGCGATACTTGTATCAAAACCCAATAACTAAAATGTAATATACTGCATCTTACCAGCCCTCAGAATTTTTTTTTTTTTTTTGTCTTTTTTCTCCCGTAACACACTTTCTGTCCTAAGGTGAGGATGCTCAATACTGTACTGTATGTATGAAGCATCAGCATTGTCACCCTAAGACAGGACTACAGAACATCTTCCCAATAACTAAAACTGTAATATACTGCATCTTACCAGCCCTCAGAATTTTTTTTTTTTGTTGGCTTTTTTTCTCCTGTAACACACTTTCTGTCCTAAGGCGAGGACGCTCAATACTGTAATGTATGTATGAACCATCAGCACTGTCACCCTAAGACAGGACTACAGAACATCTTCCCAATTACTAAAATGTAATATACTGCATCTTATCAGCCCTTAGAAATTTTTCTTTTTTGTCTTTTTTCTGCCGTAACACACTTTCTGTCCTAAGGTGAGGACACTCAATCACAATACTGCATGTATGAACCATCAGCACTGTCACCCTAAGACAGGACTACAGAACATCTTCCCAATTACACATGGAGAGGTGTTCTGCAGTCCATGGTGCTAAACTGTGCATAGCAGAGAAGACTACCTTGTATTTCAATACAGGAGTAGCAGAGTGCACAGAAGTAAGATGCCTAATCGGTTTCTGCTTTTTGGTTGAGCACACACCTCCACCCTTAGGCTACGTTCACACTGGCGTTGTGTGCAGGCGGCAGAGAGGCGTTTGGGAAGCGTTTTTACCACTTCCCAAACGCCTCTGCCAATTCTGCACATTACAGCACATGGTGCTGTTCTAACGGGAGCGTTTGCGTCGCGGCAAAACAGATGCCTCTGGTCGAGTCAGGAGGCGTTGCGGTTGCGATGCGGGGCGTTTGCGGAGCGGTAACACCACTCAAACTGCATTATAGGCATTTGTGGAGCGTTATTAACCACTTCCCGACCGGCTGTTGCATATAAACGGCCGGACGGTGGCAGTGCAGGGTCGGGTGGCTGTTTATAAACGGCCTCCCCGCACCCTGCTTGTGCGCGCTCCCTGGGAGCACGCAGCACCGCGATCCGGTGCCCGCTGTGTCCTCCGGACACAGTGAAACAACGATCGTTGGATGGGACCTCTCTACGAGGTCCCGATCATGTGATCACTGATTAGCCAATCAGTGATCACATGCAAAGTAGTAAGCAAGATGTCACTTGTGACATCATTGCTTACTACGTGTGAAATCTGTGAATGATCACAGAGGTCACATGGTACAGGGCTATTCACAACAACCTTGTAACATGTGACAAGCTGTGACCAATCACAGCTCACTCAGTACTTCTCAAGAATGCAGACAGAGAGAAAGAGAAATGATTGCTTTTACATCCTATATGGGTGTAAAAGCAATCAGTGTAAAAAAAAAAAAAAAAAAAAATCTTCTTCACCCCCCACAAGTAGTACAGTGTCACCATGGTGACATTGTACTGCTAGGGTGACAGTATGTAAAAAAAAAAACAAATAAAAAAAAAAAAAATAATATAAAAAAATAAAATAAAAATGTAAAAAAAAAATGTTTAAAAATTATAATTTTTGGTTATAAACTCATTTGGATTTTTTTTTTTTTTACTAAAAAGATAACGGAATAAATTTTGGCCAAGATTTATGATGGAATATTATTTATTTACAAAATTTTATTTAAAAAAACACTTTTTTCCAAAATTTTGGGACTTATCCATTTACATAGCAAAAAAAATAAAAATCCCAGCGGTGAATAAATACCACCAAAATAAAGCTTTATCTGTC